ATTAGAATTATGTTTGATGTGTGTATAAAAAAAAGATTAAAAACAACGTATCGTACCCAAAAACCAATTATTCACAAATTTCTTACATACAATTTAGCATTTTGAAATAAAACATGTTCCAATGAAATCACAATGGTAATAATTGTGTTATTGAAGACATAGCAACGCGTGTTATTGGAACATATTAAAATGTAACGATTTTAAAATGTTCAGTTGCGAGAAATTTGTAAGTGACTAGTTTTTAGGTCACAACAAACGAATTATATATTAATAATTTCATTTTGAACGATCCTGCCGTTCGAATTAAGCTCCGATTAAATTAATAGGAATTTATATTATAGTTGAAATCGCTCTAACATATTTGTATGTTTCAACTCCTATTGTTCAATTAGCCTCGCTCTATTCTTGTCTTTATCAAGGTCTATTCGTATTCGATAAATTTTTTATCGCATACTTTTCCTTTGTTTCACCGTGTAAGAATATATCAAGAAGAAATTATACTTTTCAAATAAAGATGATCAATCTATATAATTTTGAAATTTGAAAAAAAAGAGAAAAACAAAAATATTATATTAACAAAATTATATTTTTTTCATTTAAATTATAGAGCGATAGAGTTAATTGATCGCATATGTTTAGGAGACTTTCTTAATTCATTGATTGATCAATCGCATTATATTAAACAATATAACTTGTTCTGTAAAAGTTGTATTTGCGTATAATGCGATAAATCAATCGATGAATTAAAAAATTTGCCTTTTATTGTAAAAATAATTGAAAATCTGATATGATTCATACTTTTTTACTGCCGTTTACATAGGATGCGGAAGCGACGTCACTTTGTAAATTCCATCAGAGAAACGGATCGAAAAAAAGAGAAGTTTCATCGCTGTCATTTCCGCTCGTGTTCGCATATATTCTGACCTAAATAGCATTCCCCATTTTCCGGCTCGGTCCCATTCACGATTTTCCTTTCGGATTACGTTATCTCGGGATCGACGGTTGGTGGTTTCTCACACCGTTGTTTGGACTTACCTGCTAATTCGACAAGACCTGTCTCGATCGGTTCTCGTTATCTTTCACGCTGCGTGGCGTGCGGTGACGTCGTTTACAGTATCGTGCCCGTATCCTAATCTATCGGTCGGTGTTCCCCAACCCGAAACGAGAAGTGATGTTTCCCCTCTTCCTCCTCCGTCATGGACGTGACAATATTTGTCGCGACCGAGGTGAGAGCAATAGGTGCGGACGCGCGTTATTTGCCCTATTCCCTGTGAGATGCCGTCTATTTGCCGAGGCTTTGTTTCCACCAGTTTCCGTTTCCTGCGCCAACACGGCGGTTCTTCTGATCCATCCGGTCAACCGAATACGCACAACTGCTTTTGGATATCAAGATAAGCGACTTCTCGGTACACCTTCAACTCCTGATTACAGCCTGACATCTGATCTCTGCGTCTTCGTTTGTTCATATCGCTTCTGCGGTAAAACGCCAGAAAAACTGGAAGAACACCGGATTTTTGAGTTCTCACAAGAAAAATAAACTTTAGAATTTAATAAATATAATCTTAATAATATACGCGATTAGTGAAAAATATAATAATTGAGTAATTGTGACTGCGATTCAATAAATAAGAAATAGTGATTACAATTCTTACGAATAAAATTGATAATAATTTTTGAGACAGTAATCTTCAAATTATTTTCTTGCAACTATTGTGTGAAGTTATTATATAATATTAGTTATTGTAATCGAACTTCACGGTAAGTTCGTTCAATTTTTGAATTATATTATCACTCCCTCACCTCAAAAATTGTACAATTAAAAAAAACGTGACTTTTGAATTAGTACCATAAATAAATTAAATATCTACATTACCCTATCAATTATTAAAAATAAATTACTTAACTATAGTTTTTAAAAATCATTAAAATTGTTATAAAAAAAAAAGAATAGTTAAAAAGAAAGTTAAAATCGTCATAATTATAAAAAGAGATGATTTTTAAAAGTTGTGAAACAAAAATGACAAAAATAACATTTAATTATGTTACTAATATATTTTTTGTCAATAAAGCGTATTTATTGATAAAAGCGCATTTTCTGAATATAGTGCCTTTATATTTACATTTTATTACAATTTTGAATATTTTGTTTATAATTAATAATAATATCACTTATTATTAATAAAATATAATTTGAATTCATATCGCAATAAATAAATAATATTAAAAAATGTTGGGTTTGGATAGAAATATGGAGAGTCTCGATATTTTTCAAGTCAACTTCTAAATTTGTTGCAAGTCATTATAAGATTGAATAAAAATTTTAATGCAAAAAGGAATAGCTCAAGTAATTTCAAAATTGTTTTAATGTGCGAATTTCTTTTTGCATTAATTGTTTAAATTATCTTCTATTGAAAATATTTGCTCATTGTTATTTTCTCAAATTTCTTGATAATTTGAAGTTTATGTTGAATGTTGTAGGCTGTTATGTGATTGTATTATTTAATTAGATTTTGCTAGATAATAATTTTTCTAGATACGCGAAACAATTATTCGTTAATACGAGACTATGATCGTAGTTATCAATCTTTTTTCCTCGAATAATCAGGTTTTTTTACAAATTTCTCGGCTTTCTTCAGCACATGGAAAAATGGTATCCAACCCGAGAAAACTCCAGTTTTGAAAAGGAATTTCTGGCTTAATTTTTATGACCCTTTTTTTTGTAAAAAGCAGTAAAACATTATGGTCTTTCTTGCTTATTTGAACAGATTATGACCAAATATCTTCACCATTTTTTCTTTTGAAAATTTATCTTCGGCAGAATGTGACAATACTAGTCTAGAAATGACAATTATGATTTACTAACTTAGAGTGAGTAACATTAAAAGTTGCATCATAAAGCGTAAAATCTTTTTATTTTTAATTTAAAAATTAAATTATGTTATATACTTTTAAGATATACATATAATAAATATGTCGATAAACAAATAATATATCATTATGTATATATAATCAAATACAATTTAATTAAATTCGGCATTCACTATATTAAATATGCAGAAAATCTAGCCAAGAACTCGATATAATTAGCAACATTGAGTCAACTCTATCGACGTTTCAATACTATTCGCTGCATCATTATTTTACACCAAAAGCAGTTAAATACTTTTGACATCGACAATTTATACAGTAATCAATATGTATTCCTAGCATGCCGTCGTACACGTCAAAAATACATCTCAAACATCTCTTAATCTGTCGTTTAAATCGCCATCAAGGCAACGAAGACTACCCTCTATTTACTATTATCCAAGTTTCTATTGTCATTCCGCTGCCTTTCCATCTTTGGCGATGCGTTTTCGCAGGCTGAATCGGTGGCCACACGGCTCGACGGTAAAGTCGCCGCATGCCAAGCTCGTCGGCGTCGCCTTTGTTGCCAATCGCTCCCTCGTTTTCTTCCTCTTCATCGTCCTCTTCTTCCTCTCTTCATCGTCGTCAATCCTCTTTGCCGTTCCCGAGGAATTTTTCCACCACTCGATCATCCTGGTGACTCGTGAGGGAGGCGATCGTCCCGTCCGCATAGGATTGTCCAATGAAGCGATACCGCAAGATCTCGATGGGCGGCGCCCGGAATCCCGGCGATGGCTCTCCGGCCCGGCGACTTCGTGGTGGGGCCCCGTGGGGCCCGAGCCGGCCGCCTGGTGGGGGGATTGACATCGACTACTGTGCATTTCCCACGTGCCCTGGGAACCCCCGCGGCATCGTGTCAGCCCCCGCTCTTCGCTTTTGCACGCTCCTTCCACCTCCACCTTCTCCCACACTATCTGCTTCTCATCGTCAGCGGCAAGCGTCTCTCCTTCTGTCTGCCTGTCTGTCTCGCTTTCTCTCTCTCTCTCTCTCTCTCTCTCTCTCTCTCTCTCTCTCTCTCTCTCTCTCTCTTTCTCCGCTTCTGCTTATCTCTGCCTTTCTCCCTGTCTTTCTTCACCTAGTACGGTAGAAATCAAGAAATCGACGCACCCGTGGATTTTCTCCTAAGAATCGGTACATTGCTTCGTCTTTACGCGTAGGTGTCGGGATTGCGACGCGTGATCGCGCGCGCGCTTATATTGTTTATCCACGAAAATATCTATAGCTCTCTCTCCTCCATCCAAAGTCGACCGGCAACACATAATGATACTTCTACATATACAGATAGGCAGGTAAGATAGATGGAAGACGCGCGCCGAAGGGAGTCAGTGGCTCTAGCTTTTGGATACGAGCGCTACCTCCGTAACTTTTTACGGCCGGGGTTGGCTACCGCCCCCGCGGGGGGTATCCTTTTGGAAAAGGGCGAAGGCGGAAGGAAGCGGCCCAAGTATGCCGGAGCGGTATTCGAATACTTTAAAAGAAGGTAGGGGAGACACCTCAACGATTATGTACCAGAAGAGGTCTTAGCGTGGGTGAAGAGGGATGCTCTCGTCTCACGGTTATGAGGGCGGGCCCAGACACGGTGCGGTGGAAGGGATCAGAACCCGTAGAACGTGGAAGAGAGGGAGCAACTCCGCGAGGACAGTTGAAGGGAAGGGAAGGGAGGGCGGACGAGTACGCCAAGCGGGAGCTCAGGAAGCCGCGTCGACGAAGGATTTGTGAATAACCGCGCTGCTATTCGGCGACCGGGTGAGACAAGGACGCACGTAGACTCGGGACAAGGCGCGCTACCACTTCTTCCCTTCTTCGTCGGACTTCCTCTTCATCATCGTCTTCACCTCTTCCTCTACCAACACCCGCCGTCACCCTCTTCCCTCATTTTCCTTCTTCTGCTCCCGTTCCTCCTCCGCATCCTTCTCACCACCACCACCTCCTCCTCCACCTCCTCCTCCCTCGCCTCCCTGGCCGCCTCTTTTCTACCTCTACCACCGCAACGAGGTCGAGGAAGGAACATCCTGGACGTGTACGTTCCCCGTGGAATTGAAGGGAGGCTACCTTCACACGATAACTGGTGGGTATCGGTGAGTTGGTTCGGTAGGGAGGTGTCTCCCGGTCCTCCAACCAGAAGAAGCCAAACGACGACGACGACGAAGAGACCTTTGGCGGTTACACACGGCGTCCTACCGTCTTCTGGTGTGCCTACCTATTCGGGCTACCAGCGAACCGAGCGACCAAACGAAGCTTCAGTCGACGCCGCGCACCCAAACGGTCCAGACCTGTCAGCCCGGAAGACACACGCGCAGCAACTCAACACTTTCACGAGCTACCGACCTACTAAGTAATACGGAGATCCCGACTGTTGGCAGCGTGACATTATACGCGCACTACAGTTCGTTTTTTTTTTACTACTCACCGCATTTCGCGAGTTTCGTTCTTTCGTTCATCGAAAGTTTGCGCTTCTATTCAAGTTCGAAAATTATCCTTTGCGGAAGAAAACTATTGGACGTTGCTCGAGGACGAATCCTTATTTGCATTCTTTCTGTCTCTATCGGTAAGTCAATTCATATCATCTCTTTATCTAGCATGTAATTTTAATAATATATTATAATACATAAATATAATTATATTTAAGATTAAAGTTATAATTGTTTATTATACACATTTAATATAATAACTAATTAATTATTAATTCAATAATATTTGAAATAACATTAACTGAAAAGATTAGTTACATTTATAAATCGAATATTTTCTACAAAATCGTATCTTTCTTTCTTTTTTTCTTCTTTCTCATTGTATCTCGGGTTATTAGAATATATTAAAATAGGTACCACATTTTAAACATATATAGAACATTATTAAAGTTTCGTTTATGGGATGCAGTACCACGTATTGATATGATTTTGAATATAATTCTTGAATATAATTTTCTCTCTCTCTCTCGCTCTCTCACTTCAATTTGTTTCTATTACAATTAATATTTATTTAAAAATTTTTTTAACTTATGTGAGACAATAAAATAAAAAAAATCGGCTCTTACGTTTTATCAGGAATGAATTCTATTATTAAGCTACTTTTATATCTTGCAATCTTTGCTTCATTTCACGATGAAAATCATCGCCAAATATCACTTAAATTCTGTAGGCAAAATTCTGAAAGCAAGAATATACAATATTCAATCTTCGAATCTTTGCATTTTCTATTGTCTGCCTCCACGTGTTAAGAATTAAATGAACGGGAATAGGGGTGTGGTCTATATTCGCTCATGTATATCAAGTCCTTGCTTCTGAATCAGTAGCAGACTGTAGGGCGGTGCACAGTAGCTACTGCATTTTGATTGGTCCTCAATCTTGCGGGTTGTGTCCACGGCGATTTTACGATGGTCTCCTTCAAATCTTATAAAGGTTCACCATTTTTTTTCTAGTAATTCGTGTTTCCAGTTAATAATTACAATATTTCTATAGACATACATCTTCCAAACATATAATTTTAAATTTTATATTATAGACGACTTTCTAAAATTCAGTTTACTTTTAATTTCTCGCGATAATATTCAACGATATTACGGGTAATTTATATGATATTTGTAACATAGAGATGATAAATAAAATTTGAACTAAAAAATAAATAAAAACTTTTTATTTTGAAAACCTGCTTATCTAGCTACTGATTCTTATTACGTTGATTAATATCTGATTACTATAAAGCAATTATCTTAATTATTCTCATATTTCCTACGATCCTATTGAAAATTTATTTTAATCATTTTTCTTCTCTTATTTGCGTAAACGCAAGTCGAGCTGCAACATGCGCCCGTTCAAGTTATGAAGATAGAGATTTAACAAGCTTCTTACCTACCAGTCACCTATACGGATCAAAACGGATCCATCACGAAGCTACCATTTTTCTTTAGCGCCGCGCGTGGCGCGAGTCCGCGCGATAGGTAATATCTCTCGTGAGAAACGCCCTTGCGTGATCGGCCGCGTACCCCGTTGGTATCGCGATTCGACGTCTAGACGGCGGAGGGAGGGTGTGGTCCCACTTGGTGGACTTCTCCGGCTGTTCAGTAGCGACTGGCCGAAAACCGGTAGTCGGCGGTAGGGCGGTGCACAGTAGCGACTCTTCTTTGGTTGGCTACTGGCCTTCTCGCTGTGGCGAGCGAACGAACGAGGGCTACCGCTCCTTCCTTTATTCCTCCATACACGCGAGAACGAGTGCACGCACATCGAGCCGGAGCTCACTTGGTTGGCCGTTCTCCGTTCTTCTTCGATTGGCTGCCGGCTCTTTGTACCACGCACTCCGCCCTTCGTATCACGCGATAGAACGCGAAGGTACTCGCGATTGCCCTTTTTCCAAAGTCTCCATAATTTTGAATAAAGCGAAACGTCATACTGTCGATACATCTCTTTTAGATTGCCCTCGTTAGGAATAACTCTTAAATGCAACAACCTTTGGTTATTTTTCTCATAAACTATTATAATTAGTACGAAATGAAATTTATCTTGACTAGATAGTTAATGTATTCAATGCTCTATCAATTTTCAATATCCAGAGATACTATAGAGCACGTATTATACGATTCAGAATGGATTCCGATCGGAATAATTCCATAATACGTACAGCACAGAAGCTTGTAGCAAATTACTGTTGTATGAATATATGAATGTATTGTATATTGTTATACGTATTATTGATGATTATATTTGTAATATTAAATCCATTTTTATACATTTGTTTTTCTCAATTTTGCTCTTTGTTATAAAAAACCGACGCTTATTTGTATTAATTACATCAGAATACAATGACTTTTCTATGCGCGAATTGAATTAATAATCATGAATAGCACGATCATCTTTATACGCTATAAAAGTTACATTACACGATATCTATTTTAATTGCTTATTTAATCGTGCGCAGTTCTATTCCCGTCAAGAGGAAGCCTCACTTGATTATTCCGCGCATTCCTTCTTCTAGCGTGGTTTACAACAAAATTTACTTTCGCGTAGCTCTCGGACATATTATAATGTTTCGCCTATTCGCAAATCTTCGTCTAATATGGTGCATTCATAAACGCGAGCGTCTACATATATCGCATTATCATACATTATCATACATTATCATACATTAAATGAAAGCATTTGATCACGCGAACTCGGTAGGCAAACATGGTAGCTGGCACGATGTTCACTTTTCAGTGATACATCGTTAACTCGTGCTCGTATTTGTTGCTTCGCAAAATTCTTACGTCTTGTTACACTTGCAATTTTATATATTTCATTTTACAGACGTTCCTTTACCCCGCAGAATATCATTGAAACGAAAAATAACTCGGTAGCTTAAGTCTGTTATTCTTTTCTGCATTTTTATCGTCCAGTCGAATTCAGCAGAGCTTAGCGGTTATCAGAGAACACGATCATATATTATCGACTTAAGATTATATTTGCACGTCCTCATCGGCATCGTCTGTAATATAAAACCTGAGCGTTTACACGGCTAATGTCGTTTTCCTCGGCACCCAACTCATTAACGCACAACTCATTAACTTTGCTTCACGCAAAGTGAGAACCTGTTCCTACCACATGTACCCGTCTCGGGTAATACAAGCGTACTGTGACCTCGTAACTCTTCGACAAGATTGCCATGTAGTAGCTGGTGTTACCGTTCGTTTCTGCGGATATACATCAATACCCTGTGACAGGAGTAGCTTTGTGTCAGTTTGTTATTCGAAAGTAAAATGATTAAATTTCAGAAAGAATAAGACGTTAGAAAGTCTGAATTCTCTGAAGATTTCACGTGGTTTCTATTGTAACAAACTGCATAAATAAATGATTTTTGCCATACCTACAAAATTACAAAAGATATTGTGGTTTCCTGTCTGTCTCTTTATGGATTTATAAGGTCGTTAAAGAAACTCTTGGAGACAAGGGAGAGTTTAGTTTACACAAAATCGTAAATCCATATATATCCAATATTTGCACGTAAACTTCTAACGGAGGTGACGAAGGTGTCCCGTTTGAAGACAGCTATAGCATTGTTTCTGCGTGTTTTCCTACATTTTGTCTTTACGTGACCCAGCTATCATTGGATGGATATGAGATCTGGATCAGCGTCGGACGTCAACGACGACGAGACCAGACAGAAGCGTGATATTTTACCAGGGGACAGAACGGATCTTTTTTGTTTTTTTTACGAAATGTGGAGTCGCGCGTAATGCGCAGTTCCGATTAGGCTCCACCGCCTGTTAGCCACGCTAACCAACCGGGCTACGCCCAGGTACCGCTTATTACTCATTCGGACACGCCACTTTATTCGAGCGTGCGCCGTGCGCTTAATGCGAGTCGGTAGCGACTGGCCGACACTCCTGTACAATGGCTGCACCGCGCGATTGGATCCCGCGGGCTATTTTTTAACATGCCGATTCCAATTCGAGAACCGTGCCATTAGACCGTGGCAATACGATTTCGATCCCTCATTCATATCCGGCTGAGTACGAGGGAGTCCCGAAAGTAATACTTACACGAGGTATAATTTGGCATGTTGTACGTACCTTGAAAAAAAACTAAATTTTAATAAATCATTCGTTTGAATAGTGCCGAGTAAATATTTATTTAATAAATATAAAGATATATTTATTTAGTACAAGAATCATTAAATTTCTTTAACTATTATTTCTTTTATTTAATAAATGTTTATTTGTTGTACATAAATATTTAGATGGTACCATTTAAATAAATATTTTTTAAAGTTTAGTTTTTTTTTTTCAGTATACAGTTCATATTTCTTTCTATGTTTATTATGAAGGGAATGTCTTCTCTGGATATACTCTGGATAGAAATATTAAGTAATAAAATAAATATTAATTTAACACGTGAAAATGGAAATGACTTCAGTGGAATTCGATTACATCAGATTTCTTAAATTATTTTCAAAGTTTAAGAGACATCTCAAGGCGATCATGTCGAAGATTATTTACAAACGGTACTACAAGTATGTAAGAAATCGAAAGATAAATTTCGGATATTTTTAGCACGATGATTTTTAATTGTAATTATTATAATTATCATGCGAGATAGAAAAATGTATATAACATAAAGATAATATGAGAAAGAATACATATATACGAGCAATATATTTTGAACGAATTATTGTATTTTTTTTATCAATGATTATCATATAGTTATCATATAAACAATATTTTACTTAAATTTTATTGAAGAACTTAACTTATATTAATCATGTAAAAATTAATAGGTGACTCATTGCTTCTATGCTTTTTTTTAAAACAACGTCGTGAGCTCGGGAAATATTTTCATGATTTGCATAGCGTCGGATAGTTAGTGTAAAGATTACGGATCGTATTTGCGATGTGCATTTAGCTCTAATAGTGGTTCTTCCTCCTCGATTACCATGAATGTATACAGCATCTCATATGAATGAAACTTAAAACTGGACAGTCGCGTGTTTGAAATTAAATATGCCCGGAGGACGTGTCGGAGCTAATGATTTAAACTTGCGAATGGAGTAGACGCACCCAATTAGGAAACTAGTCATTAATTTTTTTCGGAAGCACACAGCTTTTTATGGGCATTCACATCATGTTTTTCTTTTGCTGACTAAGAAACTTAACATATAAATATTTGAGATAGTCGACAAGTTTAGAACGGTATATTATTTTTAACGGTATATTATTTTAGATTTTGTGAAAAAATTTTATTCATCATTTACCATTCATTCCTAATTCTATTTAGGAATATTAAGTATCGTATATAAGTTTCTTACAATTTCGTGCAGATGTAACTTGATAAGGTTTTTATAGAGTTCTAAATAAAATTATATAGAAGATGTTTATATGAAAATTTTACGAATTCTCAATTTTATTTAATAAAGCATCGATATAATAACTTTTTTCATTTATGTTTCTTACAGATACATAAATAATATCTATTAATAATATTATAAATTATAATATTTAAGACAATACAATCGTATCGCTGATTTGCAAGAGTAAATTACAAAAAAGTAAAATTACAAAATAAAAGCTGCTTGTGACATTTCTGCAAAAAATATTAGACATTCTCTTATCTTATTTATATATAAAAATGTTATATATATTACAATAACATATTATTTTTTACATCTCTAGAATTATCAAATTATTTAAAATGAGTGACATCTCACAATAGATTTTCCTCGCAGAGTCAGTTGTAGTTAGCTTGTGCTTCAGAGTTACCTTTTGTATTACATAGGTAAAGTACTTGTCTATGTCATTTTAAAAGCAAATTCCCAATAAAATATCGCGATAATAATTCGATCGGAGAGAATTTCTATTCCGTAAGGCGCATCGGCATGCGCGTGTCTCTCCACCTACGCATCTTCGTAAGGAATGCAAAATACTTTAGAAGTAGCTTTAACGTTACTAACCCGTTGCTCGTAGGCAACGGCGCTTCGCGTAAATATCTCAGATATACAGGCGTTCCTCGCGAATACTCCGCTCTCGCGACTCCGGGTGATTCTCTCGAGCGTGCGAGTCAGATCGGAGGAGAATCATCGATTCTGTGCTCTTTGCAGGCAGCGATACGAGGATTCTCTCGCGACGTGGTACAAGCAGTGATCTCACTCCCAGGAGTCAGCCGTGCCCGAGACTAGCTTTGCGCGGGAGGAGAAGAGCGAAGTCGAAGAACGACAGTCAAGAAGGACAGATAAAAAGAGAAGGAGGGAGCATACGAAAGTCTGCGAACGAGTCTGCGAGGCAGAGAAAGATAAAGAGAAAGAGAGAAAAAGAGAGAGAGAGAGAAGAGAGAGAGAGAGAGAGAGAGAGGGTGACGGAGAGGTACTAAGAAAGGAGACAGAGGAAGATAGAAGACGTGGTGGGAGTGACTCCGGGCGTTAGCAAGAGAGCGAGAGAGGCGGGTAGAGGGAAAGGAGAGATAGAGACTCGACCAAGAGAAGGAGCGGTGGGAATTTATAAGGATGTTCGCGATAATGCCGATGGAGACAGAGGGGCACGGCAGGGAGTTCGGCCGGCGGCAGAAGATGCGCGCCAAGTGCACGGTAGAGTTCGTCTGCAAGTACTGCCAGCGGCGCTTCACGAAGCCCTACAACCTCATGATCCACGAGCGCAGCCATAAGGACGACGTGACCTTCACCTGCGAGGTCTGCGGAAAGACCTTCAAGCGGCAGGACAACCTCAAGCAGCACAGGTACACTGTCACATTTCGTTTTCACCATTTTTTTTCCACTACGTTTTATTCGACGATTTTTGTTACGTTTAATTTTTTTTTTTTGTTACGTTTTATTTTGCCCTTCGAGGACTTCTATTTTTGCGCGCTCGCACGGGACACGTACGTGATCTGATCCATGATCAATCGCCGCGATCTCTTAAGTACTCTTTAGGGGGTCCCTTACAAGGGTCCTGTACGAGTATGGCGTCGCGTATATGAAAGAAAAGCCCGTGACACACACCGTAACGTAGTAGAATATTGCCAATGTTCCTGTGAAATATCGCGGCAACCGATCGTGAATCAGATGTCAGTGCGTGACTCTCACTTGTAAGAACCTGCACTCGAAAAGCAATAGAGAAGCTATCGGGAGACGTTTTGCTACGCGTTCTCGTTGTTTGCCACACGACAAAATGGGATGATGGAAAATGATTAGTTCTCAATCAGCAATCAGCTCGAGAAGTCGAGCTAGATTGAAATTAATTGCTGTTAGATTGCGTCATTAAGTATCGTAGACATCTTTTTGTTGTGATTATTTATTTTTTTACATAGCATAGATAATAAGGACGAAAATTGTGATTCTATTGTATGTATTATAATTAATAATCATTTTGATGTCAAATAGTGAAAAAAGGTGAGAAGTTTCAATGATATCCATTATGTGTTAGATCATTTTTATTATTTGCCTTCATATAATAATTGTAAAAATTAAAGCTACTTAGTTGCGCGTAGATCTTTCAGTTAAGATGAGATTAGCACCTGGGAAACCGGTCAGGTCACCGATTTGACCTTTCGCAAAGTAAAAAAACAAACGATAGCAAAAAAAAGCTAATACTTTATGATTTGCTTCGAGAACTAATCTGGTCCACGATTTAATAACTTCTGGATATATATCTCGTCGCTCGCAAAATTACGAGACGCAAAGCACGAATTATTGATTAACTTTTACATAATGAAACAAAGATACCGCACGAAAATGAGTGGAATATTAACCCTTAGTAGATACGTTTGGTTTGAATACTTTTAATACACGTTCAATCATTCGTGTCTTGACTTAATTTTCATCATTTTTACAAGTGTATATATATAAATTATTAAGCAATTTTGACATATATTTTGACATATATCTTTAGAAAGTATTTGTGCAGTTATATATTCATAACAAATTATAGATAAATTGTTGTAAATGTAGTTAACAGAATCAGAAAAATACACCGTTCCATATAAAAATATAAAACTCTGAAACAAAAATGTTTAAAGGAAAAGTATGATTCAATATTTTAAAATTGATATTCCAAACTATAAGAAAAAAAATAATTCAAGTATCGATTGTTCAAAAAGTTTAGTTATTGAGTAACCTGAAAATGATGTTTTTTTATGAATGACTATAAATTGAAGATATATTGCATTTATATTTTAAAACAATGGATTTTATTATTGCTATTGTGTTAAAAAAATTTATAATTTATTAGAAAAATATTCTTTCTAGACAACATAATATATAATATTACTAACAACATTTAGAACAAAGGTATCAAAAATCGCGTTTATTAAAGGCTAATATGTTATTTTAGGGTTAATTTTCTTTTTTAATAATTCGCGAAATATTCGCGTAATATAACGGAGAATTAGTTGAAGTTTTAAAGAAAAAAAAAATTTTTTTAGTTACAGAAAATGTACACTCTGTACACACCTTAGGTCATTTGTGACCCAGAAATGAACTTTGGAGTTATGCCAGTTAAAGGACACGAATCGAGGCCGGTAACGCACAAAACTTGTTCTCTAGATGCCAAATTTTTTTTAAGCAATAGAAAAAAGACCGGTATTTGACCAGGTGCTCTTAGTATTTCAAAAAAAGAAACGAGCAGGACACGAATGACCCAGATATGTCTACTAAGGATTAATATTATACGTAAAAACGTCTCACGATGGTCCTTTAATTATTATAACATTGATTAACAATGCTGGCGCAAACCGTTCCATGCGTAAAAGATTTGTCGTTTAAAAAAAAATGGATATTGTAATAAATATAAAATGTATAGTATAAAGAAAAACATGCAAATACCAACCACTTGGCCGCACCCGAATTAATTTACAATTTTATAAATTATATCTTTGTGTGATCCGAGTTATCTTATTTGTGAATCAAAAGACATTTTATTTTTGCTATGTATATAAGGATATCAATGCAATGTCAACGCAATGTCAACGAGCGAAGAAGAAGATATATTAGTTTAAAGGTATGGCGGATCACGAGAAAAAGATGCGATTGAGAAAGGTTTATATGAGTCATTTTTATGCATACAAAATTAGTTTAAGTCCGTCAAAGAAAGGACGACATCATGTTACAGCAGAGAAGGATTGCGTCATTTTGAAAGTGACACGATAATAAATTACAATTAATTACATTTATAAATATGAGTTAATTTAATATTAAATCATAAATTCCACAATTAAATCTTAAATTCTAATTAAGATATTACATCAATATGCAACAGATTCCAATATAAATGCAATTATTCTTATGCAATTTTTATCGGTTTTTCCCAATTTCGGTCAAAGTGTGTTCTTTAAGTTAACAGGAAAGTTAATCGACGCTAACTATCGCTAACTATCGCTTAAGCGGTCACGGTGCTGATCTCGAGAAGGTCAAAACCATTGGTTCGGCCGATGGAGACCGCTACCGCGTTGACCTTTCGCATCAATAGCCTTGCAATGTTGCAACGTGTCGCCTTCACCCGCCTCACGGCGAATAGAAATGCGAATTGGGAGAGAGAAGAGATCCGCGAAGATCCGCGAACTTTGCACTCCTTCTCTTGCCTACGGGCGCGAGTCGACGAGTCGGCTCGGCGTGTCGGTCCAGCGAGTTGCGCGCGAACAAGCGGACCCATAGAATCGGCCTGACCCATAAATCAGTCTGAAATAATGCTGCCCCCGCATGGAACGTGTGCGCGAGCGCGTTTGAACGAGCGAGCGAGCGATAAAATAAATCTTCAATACTGGTGGATACTAATGGATACCTTGTATGTAACGGCGGTGGTCTTGTTTTCTGTTCTGTTGTAGATGTGGGTGGCGGTGAACGGGAGCTCTGAACCTCCTGCACCTTGACACATGCACAATACACACACACACACACACACACACAAACACATACACAAACACACACACAAACATGCATACAAAATGGACACACCATTAATAATACAAACTGTAACAATAACACTAGACAACAGAGTATGACAATAATTGCAACATCACAAACTACAACCATGCACTTTTTTATTTGATTATCCTCCCGGTCGTGGTGAAAACACGATCAACTATGTCACTACCGCCACCACAGAAAAAAAAACCCCAGCATGCGTATGCTACTTTTTCTTCTTCTCTTCCATCTTCATCTCTTCCTCTACTTCTTCTCTGTCTGCCTCTTTCGCTATTTCGTCTTTTCACTGTGTCTGCGACTTTTACTACCCTCACTGCGACTTCATCGTCGGCTATTTCTTGTACTAACACGGCACGCATGGGTCCCACGCTTTAAGAGGCGGCAGAAATGATTAATAGATAGAAAAGGAAATTTAAAGGATGTGAATGGGAAGGAAGCGAAGGGTTTTCCCTGGAAATATACTTTCCTCATCTTCCGATTTCAACCATCTTTGTTCCAGGAGCATACACTCTGTTCCCTACAAGGGCTCCAACGGCTACTCAAATGGCTATTCGAATGGCTACTCTAGGTATTAGAAGCCATCCGGCCAACTACTATCCTAAACTCCCGTAGATATGCGTTTTTCTTTCTCTATTGAATGCTCTAGCTACCGATCAGTTCTTCCTGATGTCCCTCCTCTATTAGAGCAATCCTTCGCGTCGATCCGACGACATGCCAAACTTGCAAGTAATGTCATGTTCGCATATGGCAAGGGAATCGCGATACTTCGTCGATTTTGGTCATCACCCTCGCCTATCACCCTCGCATCTAGTTCGTCCTGCTTCTTTGAATTTTTTCGCTTCTGCTCACCCTCCTGTATTCCGAGCCTACACCCAGACGTCAGCCACATCAGAGGAATCTTCGATTCAACCTGACACGAAGCACCGTTGCAGAATCGAGAACGATGGAAGCTATTTGGGATACAGCGATTCGACAGACAATTATAATTTCATTGAATTTCCTTTGTAATTCGACTCATTCGAACGAATAATAATATTCTTGCTAGATGTGCCAAGCGATTGACGATGTTTGAAATGTTTATGGAATTCGCTGTTTAAGATATTATTGGATACATGATATCAAATATGCAATTCGAGAACCCGCACCTCTAATGAATACAATAGTCTATATATATTAAGATACACGAATATGAAAGAAGATAGACTATGGAATATAACAAAATTATTTATTTCAGTTTAGAAAAATTATCTAAAATCTTTTTTCTCGACGTGCTCTGCTTTAAATATTTATTATCTTCAATTAGACACGTTTTAATTATCTCGATAAGAATTTTTCCACGAGCGTTTCACGAGCGTTATACAATAAAATTGCTGACAGAACAGAGTTAAGGCTTCTTATTATGCGCAACATCGATGTTTCGATTGATGGACAGATGATGAAGCTTCAAGAATAAGAAGAAGAGAAAACGATGTTTGCATATTAAATCGGTCATGCAGTTATGAAGAACCGAATCGGCAATTCATCCAGGAATCAAAACGAGCGATCTACATTCTTCCGCATTTTCACAACGCTGGATTCCACTCAGGGCTCCTCGGGCTAACGTCCTAAATTGGACTACGTAATAACCCACTAGCTCTACAAGAGCGCTGGTCGGAGGATACACTGTTCGCTTCTTCGCGTGCTACCGTGGACCACGCCCAGGCCCGAAGCGACGTCTTCCTGACCTACCACCTGGCAATCAAACCGCGGAGCTACTCGGCTTCCCCTTCAGAAAATCCATATAATTTCGCGATGGCGATACGACAGGTCACATCGCCAGGATCGCTGACACAAAATCATATCTTACGAACGTGTACGATTGTTACATATGAAGACACGATCGAACAATCTTGGGACCACGTGGGGCTATAAGGTGGGTTCGCGGTGATATCGTTGACGCAAATACCAGTCAGCTGAGATCGGTTTCCAGCGGATGAACTCTTGGCAAGATGTCTCTTCGATTCCGGCTGAGACGCGACTCATTGAAGTAGAAGAGGATCAACCGTTATTATTTCTGAGCATCGATCGTATCTTTTCTTTTCTTCCTTTTTTCTGTATCATTTAATTTTTTTTTTTTTTCTTTTATTCATATTCGTACGGATTGCGTGATAGGTAGATATGTCACTGAGAAAAATGTCTGACTAAATTAATTGGAATTTTGGTTGAAAATGGAGTCAGAATTTTCTGGTTAAATCTATTAAAATTCTATTTGAGGTAATCGGAATTCAGAATCTTGTGATTTGTTCATTTTCCTCAGTGTAGTATATTTTTCGAAACGTGGATGGAAGGGGGACATTGTACGTAATGTAGCAATTGGCACGATAATGCTCGAAGTAGGCAAATATGAAGCATTACGATATAAATGGTAATGCTGATTTCCACTTGATTCTCAAGATGCTAAATACGAGAACCAAATGGGAAATCACGTGTGGCGAGCATAAATATAACCGTTTGAAATCGGTCAACTCAGATGCAAACTGCAGGAACTTTCAGTTCTCGTAGAGCCGGTAGGAATATACACATGTAATCAAAGAAGTTTTCAAGATATGAAGTTAATTAAGATAATAATTTGATTTACGGTTTACATTTTTGATTATAATTAATGTTTTAAATTTTAAGTACATTTTTCAGTGATGTAAATCACAAATTGTATAAAACCATCACATAAATTTTTATGTATTTCTAAGGAAAGTAAAAAAATTAAATTCCTTGCATATACTTCTATCTTATATGCTATATTCCTACTTTCTCTTCTAATATCTATGTTATACTTGATGCTATTGATATATCTAGAGACATATTGTGCGCAAAGAGATGTCACCTAAATTATCATAATCAGAATAAGTTCTTACTTTTCCCATTCTAATCACCCTACGACTCGAGTATCACTCGAGTCCATCGTGATAATTGTAAAGAATGTATTTTTTTGTATTAAATTTAATATATTTTGTGGCATGCTTTTCAAACTATGTACATTAAAAAGAGAGAAAGCGTTTGAATTTGTACGTTAATGAGAGTTAAGGATTTTGCGTGACTGATTCTAATGCATCCTTGCAACGACGTTAAATATCTTTTTGCTTTGATTCGAAAATAAAATCATACAAATATTTTTAAATGGATTATGGAATGGTGTTAGTATAATATGCATATTTTTGCTACGGCATCTCGAGAATATCGAGAGCTGCCATTTAGCATAATTCGCACAAATTAATATTAGAAAAATCATATTAAAAAAAAAAACCACGATGGCTTTGGGAGCAAATAGGACTTTTTTCTAACTTTTGATTTTTTTTTTTTAGTGGAATGAAACCACAGTCGTACTTTGTACATAGCTTAAATACGTATCAATGCGCGTTTAATATTATTATATTAATTATTATTATTGATTATTATTATTAATTATTATTTTATGGATGTTATTGAAATAGCGCTTAGTCATTCTGTATTGTAGCCGCCGATAGGCCTCACGAGTGTAGAGCTGCATTTCGTTGTATGGTATCATAGGAGTGATAATAATGTTATTTTATTATTATTAAAATTATTATTATATTATATTATTATCATGATGTATCAATATTCATGCATGTATCGCTAGCTTTACACCACCGAGGCACACGGTCAGCCCGGTAGGAAGGTACATATTCTTTGTCTCTCCAAGAGAGATGAGATAACATGCGCGTGATGATTCCATGTATGCTTTCCGCAAATCGTATTGTATTAGTGTGTGTGGGAAAGTTCCACTCCAACGAACCACAAATAAATTCGCCAAGTTGTAAAATGCTACTTCGCCCTTCTTTTTTTTTATAAATCCCCTTTAGCGTATTAAACAATTGAACTATTAAAAAATCTGAGTGTTTCATGATATTAAAAATCTTTTCACTTTTGAATTTTTTTTTATCACGGAATGATTAGAGAAGCTTTTCTGGTACTTAAACTATTTTCGAATTTTGCAGCATAAAACAGTAAGTACAGTAAGTAAATTAATTAATTATAATGGATTATTTCTGATTTTATTTCATTGCAGTATTTTTTGCGTAATACATATAGAGTAATGCAATGAAAATCGTAATATAAGACAACCATTTTACAAATCGCGACTGACTTACAATTAATCTGCATCTAGTTGAGGCGAGTTGTGAGATGACTCAATCGTAGAAATTATCGGGGTAATTCATTCCTGAGGATCATTCGGATTCGTCGTCACGCAAATCATAGCCAGTTAAGCGACGGCCAGCAGCTAGGCGAAAGAGAAGAGTAGCAGTACCTGATCAAGACAGATCTCCCGCAGGCGTGAAATAGCAAGCCGCATGAAACCATCCTTCTTGTCACAATAAGTCAACCGATGATTAGTGATATGTTGTGTTCTAGTTGTTACGCGATAAATATTTTATTTAAAAAGATTTAAAATATATGGATATATATATATATATATATATATATACTTCAATAAATTAAAGAACTTTATTTTTTCTTTTTTCAATAAAATTTATCATTTTTTTACTTTGCATCAATCATCAATATGCAATATGTTGCATTAGTAAGCAATGTTAAACAAGCTATTGTCTAACGTATTTTGACGTCTCGTGCACAATTCTTCCATCGTGCACTTTGTGCATTGTGCAACATACTTAAAGAGTTCGAAGTTGTATTCCATGAGCGAATAAGATTGCACGCGGTGCATCCTGTTCACTTTATGTTGTGGCTGGAAGCTGCTCTCACCTCCTGGGGCAAAAGTCGTGAGCTGAATGTCATGGTGATTGAATACAACCCACTGATGTGCTTCCCATAGATGTACAGACTATACGTGCTATTGATTTTCCGCAATTTTCTCAGTATTCCGTCTAATTGCTTTAACGATCAATGTTATAACAATATTTAATAATTAATAAATAAATGTTTGTTTATATATGTTGAATTTATGCATAAATGTATTTATAATATTTATATTAAGAAAACCTTTTTCCAAGTGTTTTTCTACTTCAGGACTTTATCTAAAATTGCGAAAAGTATGTATAATAGATAGAAAACAAAAATAATAGGAACCTATAATTTTTATTCAATTAGAGAAATATTTTAGGTATATAAAAACTAGTATTATTGTTCAGAAAATGAAACGTAGACTGTCTTCGCTAGTAATGTTAATTATTAAATAAAATTTCTGTACTCTATAAGACGGAACCTCTCTTTATGTAATTTCCTCAATAACATTTCAAAGAAATTCATTCGCACCCGCACCTTCGATCGCAATTTATTATTGCCTCCGCAAACTCGCAACCGGGCATGCAACTGATAAAGCCGCTTAGCGTACGAACGCGTTTCCACGCGCTTAGTTATGGGCGTGTGCGGAGTGTTAAGCTAGCGGGCAGAAGCTTCCCATGGAACTCTCACCTCCGCGGGCGGAAAGTGAACTTCGCGGCCGACGACGTTCAACAGTCGTGCAGTCGCGATTGCCGCCGTGGCCGCGATCCTTTTTCGGGTGAAAGGTTGGCGAAAAATGCCCGACGGCAGCTACTGCGGTAGCTCCAATGCCACGGATCGCTTTCACTGCGGAAGAGATCAATTTTTTTGCGAAATACTTGAGTTTCGACGGTTAGAGATTCATTATCTATCATATGATGAAACGTTATGTAAATTTAATTGTTCTGTGTACTCTTTAAATCTTTTAGAGTAAATCTTATTCTAAAGAATGAAATCTCACTCTTACAGATTGAAAATTAAGCTACTCTTTCTCATAATTACCTCAATTTTCATTCTTTAGTGTGAGATTCCACTCCAGAGAATTTAGAGAGTACGGAATTTCATAATTTTACATATCTTTGTCAGTGCATTTTGCAATTGTTAAAAAAAGTATTGTTTGAAAGCGGTAATATCGTGACACAAGGGTCAGGGACGCAGACGGAATGTAAAGAAAGAAGAAGAAAGGAATGCAATAGTTAAAATAACATAACTGTTATTGTATGATTGCGTATTACTGCGTGTAATTATACAGGAAGAGACAATATCAGTTTCATATATAGAT